CTCTTTTGATGGGCAGCATGGTTGTTTCCAGGATCTTGCTATTGTGAACAATGCTGCGATAAACATACGTGTGCAGGTATCTTTTTTATAGAGTGATTTGAGTTCTTCAGGGTATATTCCCAGTAGGGGGATTGCAGGGTCATATGGAAGGTCAATTTTTAGAGCTTTTAGGAATCGCCACACAGCTTTCCACAGAGGTTGCACTAGTTTACACTCCCACCAACAGTGTAGAAGTGTTCCCTTTTTCACCACACCCTCTCCAGCAGCTGTTTATTTTTTGAGTTGTTGATAATTGCCATTCTGACTGGAGTTAGGTGGTATCTCAGTGTGGTTTTGATTTTGCCAACTCTAGGTCTGACAAAGGCTTAACATCCTGGATCTACAAGGAACTGAAACGTACTGAAAAGAAGAAAGCAAACAACCCCATTATAAAATGGGCAAAAGACATGAACAGACACTTCACAAAAGAAGACATTCGAACTTTTTAATTCTTAATGAAGTCCGTCCTTTGTCAAGCCTTCCCCAGCTCCATACACAGGAACTGTGCCTACCCGGGCTCCACGGCACTTTGGGAATTCTCCTGGAAGCGCCTCCTGTGCCCCATCACACAGCCATAGTTAGGTGTGGCCATGTCTTCCCCTTTGGACTGTGAAGCCCCAAGAATGCACCCTGCACACAGTCAATGCTAGATCAGTAGTTAACACTCGAGGTAGTTGAGAAAGACTGGAGGGACCAGGATGAAAGCCCTACCAAGTTCCACTGTGGGCTAAGGAGGACAATGCACAACCTCAAATGATGGGGAAGGAACCTCAGTGAATGTGGGTCCAAGGTCAAGGAAAAGTAGGAACTTTGATCCCATCAACTTGGCAATGACTGCATAGTCTTTTTAATTTTCTCCTCCCATTTCTTAAAGAAAATGCATGGCACATACTGGGTCCTCAGTTAATATTTATTAAATGAATACATAAATGTTTCTTTTCTCCATCTGTCAACATTTTCTTTTGTTCTTCCTAACCACCTCTCAACCTTTCCCCTCAACCACCCCAATACACAGTCACTTTCTCTCTCTCTCTCCTTCATTCTGTCTCTCTCTGTTTCCCTCTCTGTGATTCTCTCACTCTCTCTCTCTCTCTCCTCTCTTCCTCTCCCCTTCCCTTTCCGCCCCCACCCCATCCCTCTCACTGCCCCACTAGTTCCATCTATAAGAGTGTGGTGTGTGTACGTGCATATGTGTGTATTATAATTTCTAGTTCACACAGGAGAAGACAGAAGTCCAAAAGTCTAATATTGAGCACCAAATTTCATACAGCTAGTAATCAGTATGTAGCAAATAATGTCCTATTTCCCCAGATCCCTTGACCATTTTCGTGCACATCGAGCCATGGTGCACTTTCACTCCAGCAGCCAGCGCCTGCAGCTCTTTGCTTGAGGGCTGCCCAAGATGCCTGGGAGCAGAGGTGACTGGCGTTTAAGCCTCTCATCTTCCACACCACCAACAGGGTGGGGATGGCTGCCCTCAACTAATGAGTGACAGGTGTGAAGGCAGAAAGACTATGGCTCCCTGGTCTCCAGTCGGGGCAACTATGATGTGTGATCCACACGATCCCATGTCTACCCAGGGTGATGAAGCCCAAGTGACCCTCAGAGGACCTCACTTGATGCCACACCCTTGCTGCCCCTCTCCTCTTCCCTGTCCATCTTCTTTGCAAACCTTCCTAATAAATCTTTGACACAAATCCTCATAGCAATCACTGCCTCTGGGGAACCACAGTAGATGCAGGATTCAAACCCAAGCCTGTGTGACTTCAAAGTTTTTTCCACTACAATGTGCTTGAGATACTATTGCAGTCATGCTGGTCTGCTCTTTATTCATTTTACAATCATTTAAAAAATCGAATGGCTGCTATAACTTCAGGCACCTTGAAGACAGGTATGTGATCAAACACTATATGTCTGCTTCTTTCTTCTTCTTACTATAATTATATTGTCTCTGAGGCAAAAGACCTTCAAACATCTTAGCAAAATGAAATAGGGACTCAAAGGGGGGAAAAGGTGTTTTTTTTTCTTTTTGAACTTGCCTTTGTAATTGTCCTCCACCTAGGTCCATAATTAAGTAAAAACTAAAATGAACTTCAGTTATTCAATGTTATCACTTTTAAGTGGTTTTTTAAAAACAATATATGAGTAATATAGCAACACTGGAGAAATTTGAAATCCACGGGGGAAAATGTTCAAGGACTCTAATCCAACAATTTACAAACTATTTCCTTGATTTTCTTCCACTTACAAACTATTTCCAGTACTCAAATCCAACCATTGACAAACTATTTTCTTCTAGCTGTTATCATGACTTTTTACCCAATCCAGAGGTCTATGCGTTTGACATGGTTGCAGTCTTGTTCAAATATTTGGATCTTCTGTGTGTCTTTTCTGCCACAGTTTTCTGTGTTGTAACAAAGTCCTGTGCTTGTCATTATTAATGGCTACACATTCTTACACCCAGAGGATGTACCATAAATTATCAACATTTTGATATTTCACTATTTTAAATAAGATTGTGCTGAATATGCCACTTTTGTTTTGTTCCTACTCTTTTTTCATATTTTAGATGATATTTTTAAGAGAAATTTCCAAGACTAGGATTGTCAGATAAGGAAATACCAAGTTATGGTTTTTGAGATATATTGCCACATTTCTTTCTTTGCTCCATCCCCACTAAAATGCATATCACTTATAACATATACCAACGTGAAACAAAGCTTATTCCAAACTCAAGATGGTGTCCCATTTTTTGAGTTCAGGTCTAACTGAATTCATTTCAAATTTCTCCATTTAGTATAAAGACCTTGAAACCTTCACTGGAATGATATTGAGCCAATGGCATTCCTCATAAAAATAACAGAGAGCCTGAAAATGACAAAGAATCTGAAAGTAACATTTCAGTCACCCTGAAATATATCGAATCCTTGCCTTAATTCTAAGTCTTCTAATTACTAAGCATTTCATTTAGGGATTAATCATTGAGCTTGAGTTACCCAATTCGTTCACTCATCTCACTTGATGATAAACAAAGTCAAGACATTTCAATGGCTGGCGTAGGCTCACTGAGCTGAGTGTGCACATTTTGTATTTATCAACGCCTACATCTTGAAATGCAGAGGGTAAAGAACATTGACAAAATAAACAAGCAAGAGTGGATTTCATTTTCTCAGCTACTCTGAGGTTTATCTGAGTTTATCCTAAGATTTAATATTCTCATATATTAGCCTTAGAATTGCTAACCCCGAATTTGTTTCCCAGGAATATGCAGACCCCTGATATTCCATTAGTGTCCATTTTGACATTGCTTTTTTTTTAAATTTGGAGTCTCACTCAATCGCCTAGGTTGGAATGCAGGGGCACGCTTACCACCACCCCAGTGTCGCCCTACTGGGCTCTGGTGAACCTTCTGCCTCAGCCTTCCAAGTAGCTGGAACCTATAGGCGCACACTACCACACCCAGCTAATTTGTTGATTTATTGTAGAGACAAGGTCTCATCATGTTGCCCAGGCTGGCCTTGAACTCGCGGGCTCAGGCAATCCTCTCGCCTCGGCCTCCCAAAGTGTTGAGATTACAGGCTTGACCCACCACGCCCAGGCTCCGCTGTTTATTTTAATATTCTTAATTGTTCTGTCTTCTTCCACACAGATGGAAAAGTGCAAATACATATTTGACCTGGGATTGTTTTGAAGTCCAGGGGTGCATGCTGCTATACACATAACAATTGAGGCTGCATGACCATTTTCACCCGGTCATAAGCTACCTGAGAATTCTAGTGAAAAAGTGGAAAACCCAGCCAGTCTCTCAGATGCACAATACCAGGCGACACCAGACACCTGTGTAGACAAACATCCCATTGGCTGACTGAATTTTTTATCTTTAAACTTTTTAATATTAATTTAAAGACGCTTGTTTTCCATGACACTTCAAAACTCCAACAAGCACCAACTTGTATTTTGTTTCAAGACAGAATTTTGTTATGAGGTTACAGTAAAAGGCAAAATAGGAAAAGTCACTTAAGAGTCAATTTCTCAGTAACTGTCAAAATCTGTGACTTTCTTCCAACCACACCCCATGCTAGCCTTCACCCCAGCCAGTCATAGTCAAGAGGTGGCCCATGATCTCCCAGCAAATGCTCCTGCAGCTGATGAACCTATCTTGGCAAGAATTTCTGGGTTAGGATAATACTGGGTAATCTTAATTAAAGCTCTATCCCAGCTCAAACTTAATAACCAAACAAACCAGTTTTACAACTTAAAGGAATTTAATTTGCTTCACACTTGCAGTGGAAAACACACACACACACACACACACACACACACACACAGAGGAAGGAAATAGTTGGCAGCTCAGCTAATGAGCAGTTGGAGTTTGGATACACTGCCAGCTTGATCCAATTAAGGAACGTTAGAGACCTAATGACAGATTTAAAGAGGAATGGTTCAGACAGGACATGAGGTTCTTGACAGCAGGCAGGCAAACTGCAAAGTCTCCAGACCAGGTGAGCAAGTCCCTTCAAGATTTCAAAAACAGTGAGGACCCTGGCTTGTAAGCTGTCTTGCACGCCTAGGGAAGAGGAGCCCAGACTGAGAACCTGACCAAACCTTCACCTCAGAACAAAATTCTGTTTAAGCCTGAAGAAATCTATGGGACATTTCTGGGCACAACAAAAACACACAAAACCCCGCAGTTCTGCTTATTAATACTTGTTCCTGAAAAACTAACAAAATCTTTGCAGAGGTGCGATTCATCTTCCTCTTCCCTCCCACCACCAGTCCCTTCAAGTGCACCTCCTGAAGAGAGTGAACCAGAACGTTGCGGTGAAAAACACCTTGGCATGTGCTTTCATTCACTCCCTGCCAAGTATTTTAGTTTTAAACCAAATCTGACAAAGTTTCGCTAAAGGCAGAGCAAGTTTCAGACTGTGCCCTCCATGAGAATTATAGCGTCGTCCGCTTACCTGTCACCAAGACTGCTTTTTGATCCACAGGTAACAACTCTTGGCCCGATAAGTAAGTATACATGAGGACACACGACAGGGAGAAGAGGATCAAGCCCCACCAGAGGGACAAGCTGAGCAGGCAAGCCCCTCCCCAGAGGCCTGCGAGGCAGACTGCCCGACTCCACACTGGTCCTGGGCTCCGATTGTATTTGCAAAGAACTGTCCCCCCCAGCACGGCGGGGACAGCCAGGCAGATCCATGCCGTCTCAGAGAAAAAAGTGCTCATTCTCAGCGACTTGCTAAACCTCTGAACGCTCAGGGTCAGAGAGCCCAGTGGGCAAAGGCTGGCTGGAGGACGCCTGAGTTATGTGAACAGAGAAGCAAGAAGGGAGGGGAGAAAGCGGCCCCAGCACCCTCTGACTGAGCACAGATTAAGCATAATCATACGAGCACATATTCCCAGTGGGTAGTTTAAACCGCTGTGCACTTCAGTATAAATACCAGAGCACTTCCTAGTCAATCGCTCCCCTCTCCCGCCCCCTGCGTACATAACACATGCACATACTCACCCACAAACACACACCTTTTTTTTTTATGACAGTCCACTTTTGGAGAGATGACTAACTGGATAATAATTGATAGAATTCAAACTGAACAGAGAATAACATAACAACACCTCTACACCCTAGCTCACGGGAAAATACTGTCTCCTTCAGAAGGCTGCAGTGTGTCTGTCTGTTGAGTCCTTTTTCTGACTCAGGAGTGTGTGTGTGTGTGTGTGTGTGTGTGTGTGAGAGAGAATCCAGGCAATCAGTGAGGTTTAGAAGATAGATTCTGGGAGGGGAAGTCATCACTGACCTGGCCCATCTCCTCAGGACTCATACAAATCCCACCTGTGGCAGGTGTGAGAAGGGTTGGATGAAGAGGGAAGACACTCCTTGGCAGAGGAAAGTGCTTTGGTCTTGCCAGAGAGGAGCTATGCCAGGGAGAGACAATAATGACAACATAACCAATAGTGGCAGATAGCTAGTGGTACTTATCAGTGGCAGTCTGTGTATAGCTACTTATCTGTTCATTCTCTTTATTGAGAGCCTATTCTATGCCAGACTCTATTCACTGGAACTCAGCAGTCAACACGTTCATTCCCTTCCCTCTGATACATTATCTTTATGAAGCTGGTTCCAGTATTATAGTAATTTTATAGGTGAGAAAACTAGGGCACAGAGAGGTTAAGAGATGTACTCAAGATCACACAGCTGTGGAGTCGAGCAACCTTATCTTAGTGCTTTATGATTTTAAGCACTCTCTTCTGCTGCCTCAGTACATAATGCACCAGTCCTTTCCTAATTTTGCCTCATTTGAACCTTATGAAACCCTTTGAGGTAGGTATTATTATGTTCAGTTTACAGGAGGGAAAACTAAGGTTAAGAGAAAATAGGTCACTTATCTCAGAGTGACTAAAAGCCAGCACTCTGCAGTTGCAGCACTCCCTGGCTCACAAGCCCTGGGAGGGAGCTGTCTTGGGTGGGCCGGGCACCTGGCTGGGAGGAGTGCAGGATTCTGATAAAGGCTGGGCTGAACATTGTCACAGCTGGAGAGACTGGAAAGCTGCCCTCTCTGAGGCTGGATTCTGTGCATTCAAATCCAATCTTAGCTCCACCACTTATTAACTAGGTAGTTGTGGGTGGGTCGCTTCACCTCCCTTGCAGTCTCCTCTTTGATTAAAAAATAATAACAATTGCATCCTTTCTGGGACGCTAGAAGGAGCCTCATAAGTGCTGGTGACTCGTGTTTTTTAAACAGGAGAGGAATAAAGAGCAAGAAAAGAAAATGTAAAATAAAGTGCCCAATATAGAGGTATCCCAAAACATATGTTGAAGGGAGCCGAAGGGGGGAAGGGAGCCGAGGGGCGGAAGGAGGGGAGAGGTCACGCGTCCTCGATGACATAGAGTCAGGGAAGCCGGTTCTGGCCTCCCATGAGCCATGGTGAGTCGCTGCTTTGACTAGCTCAGCTATAAAGAGAGTGAGATAGAGCCCACCTCCACTCAGGGCTATCTCAAAACCCAAGGTAGATGGCATGGGAAGCAGCAACTTGTGAACTTGTTGTGGGACTATGGTGGGGGAGAGATGACAAAGCAGTTTTGAGGGTCTCATGTAGGGTGACGGCAATGCCTGTCTTCCCGCCCAGGCACATGGACACCTGGGGTAGGATATATGGCCAGCTTCAGGCCAGGAAACTTAGAGGTGACAATGTGGAATGCTCTTTGGCCAGCTCTGAACTCACCCTCCCTCCTGTGAGAGTGGGGACATCCACTCCCATGTGCTGTCTGAGGGGCAGGGCGCCTCTCACAAGCCTTGTGACCTCACAAGCCAGGGAGATCCTGTCCGTTCGCTCTGGGTGGTAAAGAGCAAGTGGAGATGCAGGACCAATTATGGCTCTTTGCTGGGAGTGTTGGCTCTTGGTCAGTGGCTTCCATATCTGGGCTAGGCAAAATGCACCTGTGTGAGATTCCTGATAGGTGCATTCCCAGTCGAGATGAGGTGACTCTTCTCCTGGCAGCCAATGTAGCTTCCTAGCTGAGAGCCCTGTCCGAGATCTGCTCTGTCCTGAGGCTCCCAAAGAGAGGGGTAAAGCTGCCCTCATGCAACGTGGAAGTCCCTGAAGATGCTTCCTCACCCCTATTGGGGAAGGGACTGCACAGTACTAAGAACATGAGCTTTAAAGTTTCATAAACTTTAGGGCTGAGTTAGAATTTTGCTCTGCCACTTCCTAGCTATAAGGTACTGGGCAAGTTACCTGACCTTCCTGAGCCTCAGTTTCCTCCTTTGTAACATGAATGTGGGGGAGTCCTGCTCCCTAGGGCTGTTTTGAGAAGTGAATGGCATAATTCTTGCACTGTACCTGGCACAGATCAGCATTCAGAGATGGGAACCACTTTTCTCAATGTCAGGAGCACTCACTTCCTCTTAGCTCTTTTCCTCTGGGCAGAGAGAGAGGTCCTTGCCAGCCTCCTTCTCGCCTATTCATTTGTTCATTCAGTTCATCACACAGCTCTTCCCCTTGTCATTCTCCAGTCATTTGCTTACAGGTCACCTCCTACCACATAACCTGAGTATCTTCTGTCAAACAACTTATTCTTTCCCTTCACTGCAATTAGTTCAACTCACAATTATGTATTTAACTTGTTCATTTTAAGAAGCTTTTGTTTCCCCCTCCTAGATCATAAACTTCATGAGGGCAGGAAGCTTATCTGTTTGCTGCTGTTTTTCCTTTACTGTTCACTAAATGCCCAGCCTTGTGCCTGGCACACTGCATTTATGTAATTAACATTTGTTGAATGAATACAGGAAGGAGCACATCTTTGTAGAGAACCTTCTAGGGGGCCAGTTCTGCACCCATCATGGGGGATTTCAGCAGTGAAAAATATGAACCTAGTTCCTAACCTTGCAGTGCTGACACCCAGTGCTCCCAGGGGAACTGCCACAGGAGCAGTGACTAGTGGGGGCAACAGTGATGGAAAGAAAGGTTTTTTTTTTTCTTTTTGGAGTCAGAGTCTCACTCTGTTGCCCAGGCTGGAGTGCAGTGGCATGCTCATGGCTACTGCAGCCTTGACCTTCTGGGCTCAGGCAATCCTTCCACCTCAGTCTTCCAAGTAGCTGAGACTATAGGCGTGCGCCACCATGCCTGGCTAATTTTTTATTTATTATAGAGACAAGGTATCGCCATGTTGTCCAGACTGGTCTCAAACCCTTGGGCTCAGGCAATCCTCTTGCCGCCTCCCAAAGAGCCAGGATTACAGGCGTAAACTATCATACCCAGCCAAGAAAAGCTTTTTACCAGTTGGGGAACACAGGGAATTAAGAATCTCTGGGTAAGAACCCCCCCAACCCCCCCCCCGAGCCTTGAACGTCCTTATCCCTTTGACAGAGGACCTCAGGGTCAGTCCTTCTGAAAGCTGCCTTTGAATAAGGACTTCCTCTGTCCTAGTGAAATAAATTGTGTTTTCTTATTTGTTCCCACCATTTTGTCCTGAAGCTATTCTCAAGGCCATCCTGGCTTGGCCAGTGTCCCATTTCTGGCAAGCTGGCTCTCGGTTTTCCAAGGGGAAGAAGCCAATTGGATCAACTCCTTCTTGCTAATGATGCCAGTGGGTCAGCGGGTTTCTTCCTTCTGTCAACAGAGGGGCCTTTTTGAAAGTGCCTTCTGAAAACAAGACATCTTACCCAAAGGAGATTTTCCAACCTGGAAAAAAAAAACAAACTGAGAATTCTCAAGTATACACTTCCTTTTTTTTTTTTTAATTTTTAATTTTAAATATGTGGGGTACAATTCAGGGTTAGATATACAAATGTTCATTATGGAGGTACTCTTGTTGATGTGGCGTAGTCCCCACCCCTGGCAGTTTCCCACTACTGCTAGTCCCAGCCCCACCCTCCCCAGGCTGTTTACCACTACTGCCAATCCCTTTCTTATAGTTTTACAATAGTTGTTAAAGGTCCACTTATGAGTGAGAACATGTAATACTCAGTTCTTTGTTTCTGTAATAGATCACTCAGTATTATAGACTTTAATCCCATCCAAGTTGCTGCAAAGTTCATAATTTTGTCCTGCTTTATGACTGTGTAATATTTCATCATGTATATATACCACATTTTTTAATCCAGTCCTTTTTCGATGGGCAGTACAGTTGGTTCCATGTTTTTGTTATTGTGAATAATGCTGCAATAAACATGCGTATAAAGGTTTCTTTTTCATAGATACTGTGATGAACCTGCATGTTCATCACAATTCACAAGTGCAAATATGTGGAATCAACCCAAAGGCCCATCAACTCTGTCTTTCATAGAATAAGATACCTGCATATGCATGAGTTCTTCTGTGTATATTCCCAGGGTCATATGGAAGGTTAATTTTTAGATCTTTTTGGAATCGCCACTCTGTTTTCCACAGAGGTTGTACTAGTTGACACTCTTACCAACAGTGTAGAATTGTTCTGTTTTTGCTGCATCCTCTTTAGCATCTGTTGTTTTTTGAGTTATTGACAATGGCCATCCTGACTGGAGTTAGGTGGTATCTCAGTGTGGTTTTAATTTGTATTTCTTTGATAACTAGTGAGGCTGAGCATTTTTTCATGTAACTGTTGGCTGTTCATATATCTCCTTTTGAGAAGTGTCTATTTATATCTTTTGCCCACTTTGTAAAGAAAAAAATCCTAGGCAGCAAGAGAGAAAGGTCAGACTACCTATCGGGGAAGACCAGTTAGAATAGCAGCAGACTTATCTACAGAAACACTTCAGGTTAGGACAGCTTGGAACCCAATTGTCAGAGTTCTCCAAGGTAAACAATTTCAACCAAGAATTACCTACCTAGCTAAGCTAAATTTCATCAGTGATGGAGAATTAAAATCCTTTCCAGACATTCAATCCCTAG